GATCGGCGCAGTGAGGTCCAGGGTGAGAATCTGGGGGCGCTTGGCCGCAGCAACTTGGGGCCGTGTGCGTTGGAAACATGGGAAGTCGGCGCAAACCGTCCTGTGGTGGGATGGTGCTGCTTTTGTTTGGTTGACTTAAGTGAACAACAACGATGAGGCAGGGGAGAAGCAAACAAACCAAGCAAACAAACTAAGAAACTTATCGAAAAGTATCGCTTTGTGGTCCCTCTGCACCTGTTTACATGTTATTTTGGGGGGTTGGTGTGGCCACATAACACACATGGGGAAAGCAGGCAGCAGGCAGCGCAGCCACTGATTTCTCGTGTTTCAAAAGCAGGTTCGGTCATCAGAAAGAGGAACTCGAGTTGGTGAAGATAGCAAAAGACACAGCGTGGCACTGGGCGGTTGGTTGGATTTGGATGAGTATCAAATGGATATCGACTGAGCGGTTTGAGCATCGGTTTGGGTCCTGTAAGTGTCCCACTTCGGAACCTCGGTTTAACAACAAGTGCGAGATTTGTCAACGCCTCGTATAGCTTTTCCGGCAAAGGAATTCGTTCAGGGTGAAATCCACCAAACCAAAGGGATCGTCTCAGGGCGGACCGTGCAAGTACCAACCAACGACAACCAACCGACCAACCAACCAGCCATCAACCAACCAACCAACCAACCAAACAACCAACCAACCAGCTAGCCAGCTAGCCAGCTAGCCAGCCAGGGCCACAAGGCAACAAGGCAACCAAACCTTCGTGTTCAAGAACCAGTCCACGCCTGGCCCACGGACACCATCAAGGCATCGCTGGCATAAAAGGGCACCTCGTTGCCGTTGCCTCGGCACCGCAACGCAGTTTTTTGTCGCCGTCATTTTCCGGCGACCAGGAGACCACAAAAATTGGCCCCTTGTTAAACCCCACCAAAAGAGACCTTCAGGTAGGTAGGTAACAAACAGCCATCCGCTTGGGCGCACCCAAGCCAAGAATGAATCAAAGTTCAACTTATTTATCCTACACAGCGTGACCCAGGCAAGCCGCTAGAATTGGTAATTTTTGCCAGGTTCAATTTGGTTCTGAAGGGTGGTTCCCTTAATTGCCAACTGTACAAGAAAATGGAACGACTCGGCTAGGAGCTCATTTTTTGATCAGCCTAAGCTCCAACCACCAACACTCAACGTGGGCCAACGACCTTTCTGGGCGTCCAAAGCATGGCCCATTGGTTTGCCCTAGCAATGCTCATCACAATTATGCGTGTAATAAGCAGTATTTGTCATATTTCGGCAACATAAGCTCTTATCCAAAACCATTTGAGGAGTGTTGCCCCGACAAGACATCTCCTCAACTAAATGCAGTCTTTGATGGCGAACACGCTCACACACACACACAAAACCTTGGTAGACAAATCCCTGTGTTTTCCCTTCATAGTCGAATCGGGCTCTTCAAAATGATTTGACCATCCTAATCCATAATCCCCAAAGAAAGAACTAAGGGAACCAAAATGGATCCATATTCCCCAAAGAAAGAACTAAGGGAACCAAACTGGATCCATATTCCCCGAAGAAAGAACTAAGGGAACCAAAATGGTTTGGCCAGTCCTAATCCATATTCCCCAAAGAAAGAACTAAGGGAACGAAAATGATTTGGCCAGTCCTCGTCCATATTCCCCAAAGAAAGAACTAAGGGAATCAAAGTGGGTTGGCCAATCCTAATCCATAATCCCCCAAAGAAAGAACTAAGGGAACGAACATGAATTGGCAAATCCTAATCCATAATCCCAAAGAAAGAACTAAGGGAATCAAAGTGGTTGGCCAATCCTAATTCACCCCCAAAAAAAAATCAGGGAACCCCTTGGATTGCCTATTGCCTTTTCACAGCCCACCCCTGAGGCAACTGCCCACCGTCATGTTGGGCGTGTCGGCGTTCGCAAGCAGCCAGTTCGGCGACTTCAGGACTGGCGCCGCTCTGCAAAGAACTGGGGGGCGCATGATTCCTGGACCCAACAGCAAAGGCCATCCGTTGCTTGCCATTTGAACACTAGGATTGTGGCCATGAACTCCACATATGCATGGGTGCTTGCTTGCGCTTGCCTGCTTGCTTGTTGCTGTCAGTCTGTCTGCTTGTCTGTTCGTGGATGTGGGAAATAATATTTTTCTTGACTCCAAAATGAGATTCGCATACGCAAACCCCAAACTGGGTGGTTTTCTTGTTCGTTTTCTTTAAACTAACTAACCCCAAACAAGGCTAACAAAACGACGCACCCACATTATGGCCAGCTGAGTAGAACCAAACGTGTTATCTTTTTGTCCCGCTGCTTCTCAAAAACGTCTCTCTCTCTCTCTTCTCTTTCTCTCTCCCCATCATTTCTCTCTCTCGCTACCCCCCTCTCTCTGCCTCTCTCTCCTCTCCCCGGGGTGAGTTGTTTGGGGGCTGCGGCAGCTCACGCTTTGGCCTGGCTCTGGTCCCTGGTCTTTAGGCTTTGGCCTGCCTTTTGGCTCTGGGGCCGGTGTTTAAGCCGCCGCTTTGCTTGCGCAAGTTGGGCGCTCACCTTCTGATGCCTTGCTCTTGACCTTGCTTGTAGCCCGCATCAACACCCCGACCACCCACACCCACCCACACCAACCCCACACCCACCCACGCCCACCCAAACCCACACCCACCCACACCCAAACCCACAACACACAGGGAGAACAATTGAGAAGACCCCAGTTGCGTGAAAATGCTAGGGGTGATGACCTTGATGGATTCCGTCAAACCTCTAGTTGCTTTGAGTAGCTTGCGAAAAGGACTGCTAGTCGGGGGCTTCAAGACGCTCGCACACAACCACACACACACACACACCTGCACGTAGCTTCACATGCGTCACACCCGCAAAACTGATAAGGAGCCTCACGAATACACATTTCGAAGAATCAAGATGTGGGGGATTTGCTATTCAGGGAAGTGACACTCCTGATGTCAATCTCTTGTATGAATCACCTACAACGCCTAAATTCAAGCAAGGCGGTCATGGAAGTCTTGCAAAGTGGATGCCTTGCAAAGTCTCGCATCCTTCAACTGGTCCAACTTGGCCCACCCACCCACACACCGCCCACCCACACCCACCCACACCCAACCCCCACACACACGCGCACACACACACACACACACACCCACCCAAACCCACACCCACACCCCACCCACACCCACTCACGCCCACACAAAGCCACACCCAAACCCACACCCACCCACACCCACCCACGCCCACCCAAACCCACGCACACCCACCCACACCCCACCCACACCCCACCCACACCCACCCACACCCATACACACCCACCCACGCCCACGCACACCCACAGCCACCCACCCACCCACACACCGCCCACCCACACTCACCCACACGCACACCCACCCATGCCCACCCACCCACACACCCAAACCCACAGCCCCCCACACCCACCTACACCCACCCACACCCACCCCACCCACGCCCAACACCCACCCACCCCCACACCCACCCAACCCAACAGCACGCCCCCACCCCCACCCCCAACCCCCACAACACCCACCCAACCCAACAGCCCCCACCCCCACCCACCAACACCCACCAACACCCACCCACACCCACACCCACCCACCCACCCACCCACCCACCCACCCACCCACCCACACACCGCCCACCCGGCACCCACACCACCCCACCCCACCCACACCCACCCACGCCCACCTAAACCCACACCCACACCCACCCACACCCACCCACACCCACCCACACCCACCCACACCCACCCACAGCCACACACACCCACACCCACACCCACCCACACCCACCCACACCCGCCCACACCCACCCACACCCACGCCCACCCAAACCCACCCACCCACACACCACCCACACC